GGGGGGGGGGGGGGGGGGGGGGGGGAATCAGGAGAGTGTGGCATTATGAAGAGTGTTTTAAGAAGGAGGGAGTGGGCAACAGTCACTTAAGATAAGGACTTGAAGGGGTTCCGTGGATTCAGCCCGAGGTGAGCGTGCGGTTTCAGTGGAGCAGTCAGGGCAGACTGGGGTTAGCTGAGGAGAGAGTGAAAGCTGAGACCTTTAGGCAGAATGTGGCCAGCCTTTCGTGAAGGGGAGGACCCTCACAACCAGGATTGCCTTTAGACAGGGGAAGGACTAACTCGACTCCCTCCACCTTCCCTCCCTCCCCCCCCCCCATTACAACAGGAGGGAAGGACAGGATGGGGCAGGATAGAAGGCTCGTGAGTTTGGGAGTAGGAAGCTGAGGAAGTCCTCTGGTGAGAGATTTGCCAAAATGTGTGTGTGTGTTTTGGTGGGGATGGGGTGGTGGTGTGTAGTAGGAGGTATCAGCAAAGATAAGTTATGTGGAGAATGAGGGAGGGAGATACAGCCAAGGAAGGAAAGAGGAAAGCCCAGCTGGGGGTGATAACTCCCAACTCCTATGCAGTTGGGAGAGTAATTTGGTACAGCCTCCCTCCTTTTCTGGATGGTAATTTAGAAGTATTTATTAAAATATTAAGTACGTATATGCTTTGATCAAGCATTTCCACTTTAGAGATCTACTTTAGAGAAATGCTTGCCCATGTGTTCATAAAGATGTACAAGTATATTCATTATAACATTATTACGTAGTAAAAAGAGTAAACAACCTAAATGTGATTAAGGGAGTGGGATATTTAGAATATATTTGTACCTATTGTGAAAAAATGCATCCCAAGGCATATTATTAAGTAAAAATAAGAAAGAAAAGAAAAACTGCAAGTTGCCCAGCGAAGCGCCCACTATCTATCTGTTTTAGTTTTCATTGCTTACAACAGAGTATCTGAAACTGGGTACTTTTTAAAGAAAATAATTTTATTTCTTACAGCTTTGAAGGCTGGGGAGTCCAAGGTCAAGGGAACACATTTCCTGGTGGGGACTCTGCAGGGTGGCACAGGACTCTGCGGGGTGGCGCAGGGCAAGAGAGCAAGAGCTAGTTCATGTGCTCTCTTCCTCTCCTTATAAAGCCACCAGTCTACTCCCATAATAACCCATTAATTCACTAACCCGTGAATGGATTAACCCAGTAAAAAGCTCCAACTCTTAAAAGCCCCACTTTTCAAATACTGCCTTGGGTTGAATGTCTCCCCAAAACTTAATCCCCACTGTGACAGTGTAAAGAGGGTGGGAAATCCTATTATTGTAATGGGGCCTTGAAGAGGTCATTAGACTGTAGGATCATGTCGTGGTGAAAGGATTACTAATGGTGGGCAGGGGCATGGTTCTGAGGGCTTTAAAGGGAGAGCACGAGAGGTTAGTCTCTCTCTCTGCTCCGCCATTTTCTGCCATGTGAGACCCCTGCATTGCTGTAAAGCCTCCAGAGTCACCTCACCAGATGTGTTCCCTGGACTGTGGACTTCCCAGCCTCCCAAACTGTAAGCAATAAATTTCTTTTTTTTATAAATTAACAAGTTCCAGGGATTTTGTTGTAAGCAACAGAAACAGACTGATACAAATACTATAGTTGGATTTCCTATCCTCTTGATACTGTTACAATAGGGATTAAGTTTCAACAGGAGATTTGGAGGGGACATTCAAACCATAGCACTGTCTGTCTGATTCCATATATGTATAAATATGAGTGTATATGTATGTATATGTTTGTGTGTATATAGTTAAGACAATAATGCATGCATGGAACATATGCCAAACTATTAATAGCAGATGTTTGGTGGGGGGTGCGGATAGTTTTAGGGGAGGAGATGAAGGAAAACTCTAACTTTTTACTCTATACATTTCTGTATTGTTTTAATTTTTTATAATGAGTTTCATTCATGTTTTACCTCCGTACAATTATACTTGAAAATATGTAGAGAGCATGGTACCCATCTTCCCAGTTGTGTAATTGAGTGAGGGAGCTGGAAAAGTAGGAGGTGGGGGTCAGAAAGAGCAATGTTTGTATTTAAGGTTCAGGGTAGAGCCATTCTGAGTAATGACTTAGTCTGGGGTATGGCCGTGGAGCAGGGAACAGAAGTGGACTTGAACTGAGGGTCGGGGTACATCAGGGAAATGATAGCTTCTCCCTCCTTGCTCTCTAGTTGCTCTAACACCACAAAGGTGCAAAAAGACAGTCCCTAGTTCCTCTTTTGGATGAGAACACTGCTTCCTCACCAGCCTCCCACATTGCTCTGCCCCAGAGAGAAGAGACCCTCATAAGTGCTCCCCATTGCCTGAGATGATACTTTATGAGGAGTCCTTCACTCCCCTCTGCTACCACATTACCAGCAGGTGCAAGAGAACAGTCTTCTGGGGCCCCACACAACCACCTTAAACTTGTTACCCACTTCCCTTAAGAGACTATCAAGATGAATTTCATTCTGTCTCATATCTCTGTACATCTATTCATCTGACTTAATTTCCCAGGCCCTGCACTCTTCTAAAATCCATCTTCAGCAAGCTTTGGAATACATAAATAATCTTTCATCATAAATTTCCCTGTATATTTAACCTCTTCTGAATTTCACCTGCTTGTCCTAAAGAAAACCTGGTTGTCTACCTATAACATAATTTCCCTGAAAATTTCTTGAATAGAGGCTGATTTTTAAAAATAACAACAAAAAACCCCAACTTTCTTTCACTGGGCTTACCAAATCTATTGACTGATGTTTTTCATCAGTTTTAGAAAATTCTTTTTTAAATTTTTTTTTTAAGCTGACCGGTTCAGGGATCTGAACCCTTGACCTTGGTGTTATGAGGCTGCACTCTAACCAGCTGAGCTAATACTCCAGCCCCATTGTTTCTGCCCAATTTTCTCTCTCTTTTTTTGAGACTCTAATCATAAATCTGTTTGGTTTTTTTTCCCCTTTGTCCTGCCTGACTCTTTTGCTCTGTTCTGTTTTTTCCCTATTCTTTTTTTCTTTCTGTGCTTAAGTTTGGATCTTTTTCATTGACCGTCTTCATGCTTACTAATTCTGTTTTATGCTGTGTGCAGTGTATTGTTAAATACATTAAATGAAATCTTAATTTTAGACAGTATGATTTTGAGTTCTAGAATGTCCATTTGATTCTTTTTATGCATTCCAGTTCTTTTCTATACATTAAAATTGTGCATCTTTTCATCCATTTTGTCTGTCTTTTCCTCTTTAACGTGTTAGTTATAGTTATTTTAAAGTCATTGTCCTTTAACTTGAATATCTGGATCATCTGTGGGTCTGCTTCTATTGTTGTTTTCTTCTGTTGATCATTCTTCACATTTTTCTGCCTCTGCACATATCTAGCAATTTCTTATTGGACATTGTATAAAAAAGAACAGTAGATGCTCCAGATGATATACAAAGGTACTTCAAAAAGTTCATGGAGAGACTTGTATTCTCTTTTAATTTGATTTTTACACAAACTTTGGAGTGCCCTCATGTTCTTTCACCAGAGAGAGTTCTCCCTTTCCTCTCTATAGGGTGAAGAGTTTATGACCTTGATCCAGGCAGGGATTGAGCTGGGTGGACTATTGTCTGGACTCAAGTTTTATTTAGATTCAGTCCACATCTGGTT